AGAGAGAGAGAGAGAGAGAGAGAGAGAGAGAGAGAGAGAGAGCATGACACAAATGTGCCTGTGTGTACATACAAACAACAAAAATAAAACCAACAGTACTAAATGTATTTGATATTAAAGTAGATGGGAGCGTAATAAGCCAAGAACAATGGCATGCATCAATGAAGATATCACAATGAACTCTCTTAGTTTATGAGCTACTTTTTCATTAGTTACTTTTCTGTGGTTTTGATAAAATACTGTGACACAAAGCAATTTACAGAAGAGTTTATTTGGTTCCAGAGGGAGAGTCCATAATGGTGGGGGATCAGGTGCCGATTCCATCACAACTACACCCAGGAAACAGAGCTGAATTCTCAAAGTCCACCTCTAATGATGTACTTCCTCCAGCAAGACTATAGCTCTTAAAGGTTCTGTAACCTCTCCAGACAGTGCCACCAAATGCTCAAACACAGGAGCTTACGGGAGATATTTTAAATCCAAACCAAAATATATGCTCATAAAAAATAGAAAACCTGTTTCACTTTGAAATCGATTTAGATCTCAGAAAAGTTGCAAAATACAGATTTTTATAGGGCCTCACCCATCTTCACTTTGTTCATAAATTGCCATAACTTAGTTCATGAAAATCAAGAAACTGCTGGTTGTGGTGTCCCATATCTGTTGTCTTAGTTACTGGTTTATTGTTCTGAAGAGACACTTGTGACCAAAGTGACTCTCAGAAAAGAAAGAATTTATTGGGGGTGTGCTTACTAATTTTAGATGGTTAGTCCATGATTATCATGGTGGGGAATGTAGCAGCAGGCAGGCAGGCAGGCAGGCAGGCAGGCAGGCAGGCAGGCAGGCATAGTGCTGGAGAAGCAGCTGCGAGCTTTATATCCTGATCTGCAGATAGGCAGAGAGGGGGGGCAGAGACAGAGAGAGACAGAGAGAGACAGAGAGAGAGGTAGAGGACACACACACACAACACACACACACACACACACACACACACACCATAAAAACTCAAAACTGGAGGCCATAATATACAAGTAAAAGACCAATAATGCAAACAGTGCTCTAACAAACAACATGAGTCAAAAAGTCTTACAAAAATACTATTGAGTTCATTGTGTGTTGGCCTTCCACTGCTAGGCATGGAGCCATCTCTTAAGTGTGGCTAATATACCAGTGAGATGCCATTGGAGAAAACTCATTTTTCCTTTGCAAGCAGACGTCAATTAGAGATAGCTTCTTGGTTAGGGATCAAAGCATACTGGTTTTTTTTTTTTGAATTTTTAAAATTGAAAATACATTGTTTTCATACAATATTTTGTATGGTTCCCTTTCCCCCAGCCCCATTCTCCCCTCTCCCACCCACCCATCCACCCAAATCCACATCATTTCTTTCAACTACAGAATATCTTCACAGCTGAGAATCCTACAGATCCTGATTCAGCAAGTTCAATTGTAAAGCAGGGCTTATTCTGCCAAAGATTACATCTCTCTTAAATGTTTCTTTTAGACACCAGCACTCTCCCACCAGTAGCTCCTGCATGCCAGCCCTGGGAGAAACTGCAGAACTCAAAATGCGTCTGTAAAATGCCCTATGAGTGTGGGTAAGCACTGTCTTTGTCACTCTCTTTTCTGTTTGATTTAATCCAGGGTAAATGGGGTGGCTTTGTACAGCTTATTGAATGAAGGTACAGCTTACCAACAGCTAAGGGTCTTTGCATTTTAATCTGTCCCATTGCTGCCTGTTACAGGTCGTAGGCTGACAGCCCTGGTGTTAAGAAGGGTTCTCATCTGGAGGGGCAAGGCACCGAAGGATTGCTTGGGCACTGCTCGTTCTATGTATAAAGTGAAGCGAAATGACAGAACTGTCACCTGAGGATTTAGAGCTTTTGAGGATTAGGCTCAAATTCCTGTGGGACATAAACATTAAAAAAGCAATACCAGCAGATAATGGAGCAGCTGCTTTTCTGACGCTGGATGCCTCTTTATTAGATTTGCATTCCAAGAATGATACCAATTTCTGGTCACTACTTTTAGGAGGATCTGGGAAGTAGCTCCTGGTTGCCTGTATTAGGATCCTAGCAAGATGCAGGTTGTACAATTAGGTGAGGAGTAGGAAAAGTTTAACAGCCTGCCTACAAAAATTGTGGGCAGAATAAAGCAAACTATAATATTGTGTGTGTGTGTGTGTGTGTGTGTGTGTGTGTGTGTGTGTTTGTTTGTGTGTGTGTGTGTATGTATGTATCCACATCCAGGCCTGAAAGAGGGAGGAAGACATTTATGACGCACGAAGAAAGCGAGGGCTCTGAAGGGACAGTTGGTAAGGAGGAGCAGACTCCCTTTAGGGAATTGAGAGGCACCACAGGTCTAATCCTGAGTTATAAACATTTACCTGCACTTCCTCCCATGCTGAAAACCACTCCACTGGTGCTCTACAATGACAGAATGCACTCACAGCTGGAGGAGAGCATGGTCTGATATGGTCTTTCCATGCCAGACTTCCAAGAAGATGAGCAGGAATGGAGAGGGGTCTGGAGGACATAAGAGAAAACAGTCTCTGGACCGTTTTCATTTTTAAGATTAAGGACTTAAGTTGGTTCATCTTTAGAAATCAACATAGCAATTTACTGAATACTTTGTAGTTGCCGTGTTCATCAAATACCATGTTCTCTTCTTGAATTAATAGTAGATGATAATGATACATATCATGACTTTTAGTATGCAGAAAATCGGTGAAAAGTATAAATTGAAATTGTGATCAACCCATTCTTATTCTAGTGTCCCAACTCTGTTATTGCTGTCTTATAGTCAATTTATTTGAATCATTTTTTTCTCTAATTCCTGAAACTCCCTCAGTTTATCCTCATTCTGTCATTTGAAGTCATGGTATGACTTTTAGTATAATTTCACAGTATTGGATGCCAATGTCAACATTGCATTGTAAAGTTTCTGCTTTTTAAACTACTCTAGGTAGCTACATTCAAATTTTAAATAAACAGAGAAAAAGATTTATGCAAAATAAAAAGTTTTTTTCCCTATATAAGTCACTCCAGATAAATTTAGCTCTAGGTCAAGAGGAAAAAAATAAAGCTAAATAAAGTATGTGAATGTAAAAGTCTTTCTAACCAGTGTATAAAAACATGCTTTGTTGTGCAAGACCTTTACTTATAACAATGTTTTTCATATCCATTAGTATTCAGAAATGGAATTTTTGTGTGGGTGGTAGTATGGGGGGCTGGAGAGGAGTTGGAGACAGGTCTTCTGTATCCAGACTAGCCTTGAACTCATTGTGTAGCTGTGAGTGTCCTTGAATATCTTATCCTCTTTCTTCCATCTCAAAAATTTTGAGTTTATGTGTACCACTATGCCCAGTTTAAGGAATATTCCTTTTTAAAATTGATGTTTCTAAATAGCTGTATTATATACCATGTCTTAGTTAGGGTTTCTATTACTGTGAAGAGACATCATGACCACAGCAACTCTTATAAAGGAAAAACATTTAATTGGGATGGCTTTCATTTTCAGAGGTTTAGTGGTTTAGTCTATTATCATGGTGAGAGATGGTGGCATCCAGGGAGACATGATGCTGGAGAAGGAGCTGAGAATCCTACATCTTGATTTGCAAGAAGTGGTCTGTCTCACTGGGCATGACTTGATCATATATGAGACCTCAAATCCCATGTCTCCACAGTGACATACTTCCTCCAACAAAGCCGTATCTCCCAAAAGTGCCATTCCCTTTGAGGACCACTTTCTTTTAAACTGCCTCATACCATTTTAGCAGCAGAGGTTAAGAAAAAACCTAGTAAGATGGTTAATGGATATATTTCTAAATCCTTTGTAAACACAGTCACTTTTATTGGCAGGGTGTTAGGTATCATGCCACAGCACAAATAAGGAAGTCAGAGGACAACTTGCTGGATTTGTCTCTGTTTTGTTCCACCAACAGCGGTGCTGGGGATCAAACTCACATCATTAGTGGCAAGTGCCTTTATTCAATGAGCTATCTCACTGGCTACACAGATACTTCAAAGAACCACATTGAGGGGTTTTGAGGGATGATCCCGTGGTTAAGGGCACTTGCTGCTCTTCCAGAGGACCTGAATTTTGTTCCCAGAACCCACACCAGGCAGCTCAGAACTGTCTGTTGTTAACTCTAGCTCCCAGAGACCTCACCCCTTTGGCTTGAGCAGGCATCTGCACTCATGTGTGCATAGCCACACACATAAATGTATATTTAATTAAAGTAATAAAAATAAACCTTAAAGGCAGCACTGAGAAATAGTTTCATCTCCACTTGTTTGTGTAAGGATTTTAGTCAACAATGCCAATTATAGACTCAGAGGGTTGCTGAGCTGGGAGGCCAGTGGTTTCATGTCATCTCTTGGGGGTGTTTGGTCTTTGCTGATTTTCTGTTTCCTTTGGTATCAATCCAGCTGCAGTTGCTGGCAGACCTCACCTTCTCACCCAATTTGCTGCATCTGGTCTGTCCTAGATGATGATAAACCAGCGCTAGGTATTTGTGCATATAAAAACTATGAGCTCATTAAGAACAAACACAGTTTTTGTGGCTGTTGTTGGGCTGGTTGCATTGTAGAGTTGTGAGCATAGTCTTACTTTCACTTATCTTCCTCAGCTCTGAAGAAAACAAATCTTGTAAATAATGTAATTAAAATGCTCTTTCCAGATCCTCCTTGGATGTATGTGCTCGAGATGAGAGAAGCAAAAAGATACTGTCTCTGACCATCTGCAAGATGCACGTTCTCCACTGTCAGGGAAGAAATTATACTCTTGTTGGCAAGGACAGCTGTACCCCACCTGCCTCAGCCGAGAAAGCTTGTGGTGTGTGTCCACCATGGAGCAAATGTGATGGTAAGAAACCGTCCATATTTGTAACTGTGAGAATGGCAAGGCAACAGTGCCAAGAGTTTTAAACAATGTAGTTTCTAGTTTATCAGCAGATACCTCAAAATGTCAAATATATTAGATTAGTTTGACAGTAAACTGCCCCTTAAGTTCCCTCCTGGGAGAGGGGATTAGATGAGGTATGTAAGAGGACAAAAACCCATTCCTGATCATTTAAGTGTTCTTTCAAGCCCCACTAATTCTCACTCTACCTTCATGGTATGCAAGCATGTGTACAGGTAGAACACCCATGTACACAAAATAAAAATTAAAAAATTAAAGGAAAAAAGGACTTACCAACAATGCTTTCTAAAAATCAAATCGTTATATTACAACCTTAAAAAGAAGTGTCACTGAACTGATTAGATGTCTCGGTAGGTAAAGGTGCTTGTGGCCAAACCTGACATCCTGAGTTCTGCCCCTGGAATCCACATGATGGAAGGAGAGAAGGGACCTCCCACGAGTTTTTCTCTGACTTCCACATATACATCATGGTGGGTGAACACACGACAACAACAACAACAACAATATGCATGTAGTGATATATTATTTATGACTTCATAAAGTTTGCCTGAGGGTTCAGACTGCAAAGCTAGCCACAGCCACAGAGCCAGGCAGCGGTGGTACACACTCTGAATTGCAGGACTTGGGAGACAGAGACATGTAGAGGAAGCTGTAGCCACACCTTCTTAGGGGCTGGCTACAGGTATGTCTGACCACGCTTGTGAGGGCGTGGTCAGAGTGACTGCGTTTGCGCTTTCGGTTTCTCTTTGCTGCTTGCTGTACAGGCTACTGCCACGCCATCTGGCTAGGTCGCTCTGTAAGTAAGGCTTTTCCCTATTAAATACCCTTATATTTCTACCTGACTCCGTATTGGTAATTTCCCACTATAGAGACAGATCTCTGTGAGATCAAGGCCACATGGAGCTACATGAAATTGATCCAGTCTAAAACAGAAACAGCTCACACAAAGGTGATCTCAGTACTGGGGATCCCACACTTTTAATCCCAGCATTAGAGAGGTATATGAGATAGGAGTGGGGCATTCAGTAGTCAGTCTGAGATATTTATTTTTCAGCCACTCTGAGGACAGGACACTTTTCAGCCTGAGGTAGAAGCAAGAGCTAGTGGCTGGCTGTTTTGCTTCTCTGATCTTTAGCTCGAACCCCAATATCTGTCTCTTGGATTTTATTTATTATTGTGTTACACACACACACACACACACACACACACACACACACACACACACACACACACACACACACACGCAAATAATGGAACAAAATAAAGTTGAAGATTTTAGCCAGCTATCATTCTGAGACTAAAGACTCCTTCTCCTTGTTATAAGGAAGTTTAAAACATGGTAGAGAGGCATTAAAAAATATGAGTGCCAAACTGATCCTTTTTGAGATAATCAGAAGACCCTGAAGAGACTAAACACAGGAGCTACTTTCTCAGATTGTGTTTCATTGCCAGCTAGGACTTCACTGAACCGAACTTAGCAATGATCTTCAGCACCACCCATGCTTTGGAGAATATGGTGAAGAGGGAAGGGCAGGGTTGCAAGAACCAAGCTTTTGCTCAGGGCTTCTGTACCTGTGGACATGGAAGCTAAACTATGTGATGTATACATCTGCAAGCTCCTGATTCTCTGTCCTGTGTACTGCATGGGGACCTTTCCCTCAGTCCTTCATAAGTTGCGGTAGGATGACAATATCTGTAACTCTAACCCCATCGGGCTCCTTTCTCCTTTACTCTTCTCTGGCTGGCCAACAAACTCTCCCTAGAGACCTAGGTAATGGATTCGCACCAAGTCCTTTCCCATGTTTTCTCCTTGTTTCTGACTAGTTTTTATAGGACAAGTGGCCTTCTGAATGCCATACTTTCTCTAAGAACTTTTTATTCTTTTCTTTCTGTGTCCCTGAGCTTTGATTCTCCACTCTCTACCAAAACCTTCTTACTTGGTCTGGGGAACAAAGAATTACCCTTGATTTTTGGCTCACAAGGATGGCAGCCTATATGAGGAAAGAGAGGGAGCGCTCTTGACTTGGATAGACCTGCCACATGTGTGTCCAGCCAGTGGAAAGCCTGGCACCAATTTCAAAGCCTATTTATTCTGAGTGAAACAAAATAGCCCCATTTCCTGGTCTTGCTGCTCTTCCAGCAGATAGTTTATTGTGTCACTCAAGGCAGGAGCTCTCTAATCACCATGCCATTATTTTGCGGGTGATAATGTGCTTTGAGTCTCCCACCTCCACAATGTGCCATTAAGTCTCTCCCACTTACTCTTTCCAGCTCAGAACAGCAAATGTGTCTGCAGAGAAGCATCGGAATGCCAGGAAGCAGGGTACAGCATCTGTGTGGACGTGAATGGCAAGGAGGAGACAATGTCTGAGTGTGAGGCAGGCGTCTTAAGATGCAGAGGGCAGAGCATCTCCATCACAGCCATCAAACCCTGTGCTGAAGAAGCCCAGTAGGACCCAGGGAGCCCTGGTCCTCTTCATCAGAATCTAGTGGGCAATGGATGCTGAGTTAATACATCTGTAACTGGCTGGTACTTAGACTGCTTTCCCAGCATGAAGGCACCATCTTTTCTCCTTCCTCTCCAGTACACACTTCTCCCTTCTGTGTCCAGCCACCTGTGCACACAAACCCTTTGTTTTTCCCAAACCACAGTCCAGGTGTTTTTTCCTTTACAAGTGGAAGTGTGAAGAACACTCATGAACCATAGCACGAGCTATTTGTGAAGTTTTGGAAAAACGTGTTGGGCTTTGACTTTTTTGTTTGTCAAATTACAGGATGGGACTAGAGACACCTGTGTGCCCCATTCATCCCTGTGATTCTGTTAAGTATGATTGACCTTCTCCAGGGGCCAGTGGACCTCCTACAGATTGATTAGGAAGACAGAAAGAACATAGCATGATTAGTGAAGTTGACTTTCCTCAGTGAAATCTCTCTCTCTCTCTCTCTCTCTCTCACACACACACACACACACACACACACACACACACACACACACACACACACTCACACTCACACACATAGGAAGAAACAGACAGATGAAATTATCTCCATCCTGAGTGGGAATGTCATGCTTTGCCCTACAAAGTCAACCCCACATGTGGGATCCTTATTCTTGTCAGAAGATTGAGCCACTTAAATGTCAGAGCAGAACTCATCATGCTGTGGTCACGGGGCACCGTCTGCCTTCTTGTCTGAGAACAAATTATGATTCAGTCTCTTGGGAGATTTTCTTCAGTATGTGTCAAGTACAAGCACCGAAATCACTCTGTTTTTGAAGGAAGCATCAGTTTATGCTAGAGCTATTGAGTGATACATTGTCGAGAATAATCTTCCCTAATGTGGTTACTCCCCTAGAATTTTCCGGAAGTACACAACTTGAAACATTGGCATTTGGTTTATTTCTTATTCATGTTCCATCAAGAATAAACAAAAATGCAGCTGTGGAAGGTGAAGTGTGTGGGCTTAAGTAGAATTTAAAATATACACAAACACTATCTGTATTTTTTTGAGGCTGTAGATACATTTCAAACAAACTTTAAGTTGCTAAGAGTTAGAAAACTTATCCAAAATACTTTCTTTAGATTTTTTTGAAGTGTATAGTTCTTGATATGACCGATCCATATTTAGCTTTTTATACTAGAATTTCACTTGAGGGTTGATGCAGATGTAATATATGGAAGATGCATGGGGATAGGTTTCATTTATTGAAAACATCACATTTAAGCTTATTAACTGCTCTGGTGCCGTGGATTTCGTTTTTCTGCTCTGGGTATTGGGATAGATCTAACAATGCTAGGGTTGACTGTTGAACCTTCTCAGAGAAGAGCTAGATAAGAGACCATTTAGAAGGATTGATCTCAGCAGCCTGCAGTCTTTCCCTTATTTACTTGTCTAGTCTGGAGTTAAATTTCAGCTACTTATGAGCACTTCCCATGTGAAATTCCAAATTCTCAAATGCTTTAAAATTTGAAACCTAATGATGACATGACAGAAAATTTCCACAGGTGGAAAATTCCACCTCTGATCTCATAGTGACAGGTCACAAAGTGCTAAACATGTTATGTAAAATGACTTTCAGGTTATGTGAAATATGAATGAATTCTGTCTTCAGATTTGGATCCTAGTCTCCTGAGTATCTCACCATGTACATTCAAATATTCTAAAATCCCAAAATACCCAGAATTGAAAACTTTCCTGGTCAAAATGTTTTGGGTGAGCACATTTAGTGGCTAAGGTATTTGAGAAAGACGTGCCACCTACATCCTGGAGAACACACAAAGGACTGATGAATCACTGTGAAGGATGGGAGGAGAGAAGATGGTTGTCCATAGACATTTTGAGATACTCTATTTTGTCGCACCCTCCTCAACAGTTTTATGCCTATTGACATTTCTTCATGTCAGGCAGGGACATTCACAGTTACCTACAAAGAGTAACATAACCGGTCTTCAAGAAGAAAGTTATTTTTGATAATGACTCATTGAAGATGTTTTGAAAATTCAAAAATAAGTTCTGTAAGCAGAAGTCTGCGAGGAAAGCAAGAACTGTTTATATCATAAGTAAATAAAAGACATAAGGAATGAATCTTTCCTGCCTGTTTTTCTCTGTCTCAGACCACGGGAGGATTACCAAAAAGAAGGCAGGATGTTGCCTAAAAGGCTGAAAGCGGTGTTGAAATAAAGGTCCTTTGGACCTATGGGAGGAGAAAATGGGTGCTTACTCTCATTACTTTTAGGAAACCTCATAGGAAACAGATCTTCACCCACCATTTACATAGACTTTGGCAGTTACTGACATGCAGCCTTGGATTTTGGGTAGAAATTAGTGTGATTTCATAGAGTTCCTATTAACTGATCAACAGAAGTGCAGCTCATCAGTGCCCTGGGTTTTCATAGCTCCATCTAAACTGCTCCACATGTAACTTTGCTAAGATTCTTGTTGTTACCTCAAATCTGAGGGGAGAGCATGGAAAGTCACATGGGGTATGGTCGGGGTGTAGACCGATAAGTGAGATTGTCTGAGGAATGACCCCTACTACTCTGGGTTGTCTAGCAACTACTCAGATAACTTGAGTAAGGGCTCTCACAGCCAGCTAGCCGACGGCTCACCTTAACTCCATATAAGATGAGAACTTATCAATTTGTGGAGAATACACTCAGGGTTGAAGGTACTGGACACCTGCTTAACCCAGTATCCCCTGATATGGCTTTAGATGTGTTTGCACATAAATCATTACTCCTGTTCCATCAGGTTTAGATGTTTGGAACCTATTGCCTGTCTGTCTGTCTCTGTCTGTCTGTATCTATCTATCTATCTATCTATCTATCTATCTATCTATCTACCTACCTATATTCTGTTTCAACCCAACATTCTTTTTTTTTCAACTTGGGGATGGAAGGGTTTATTTGGTTTTCACATCCTGATCACACTTCATCACTGAGGGAAGTCAGGGCAGGGACTAAAGCAAGATCAGAGGCAGGGACCATGGAGGAACATTACTGGCTCGATTTCCATGGCTTACTCAGCATGCTTTTTTTCCCCCAAGAGATTATTTTTTATTAGTTCAAATTAGAAACAAAGCTGCTTCACATGTCAATCCCTTCTCCCTCCCTCCCAACCCCCATCTGCCCCCACCTCATCCCTCTCTGCTCCCCAGGGAGGTTAAGGCCCTTCATGGGGGTTCCCCAAAGTCGGTCATATCATCTTGGGCAGGTCCTAGGCCCTCCACCACGTGTCCAGGCTGAGAGAGCATCCCTCCATGTGGAATGGGCTCCCAAAGTCCTTTCTTTTGCCAGGGATAAATACCAATCCACTACCAGGTGCCCCATAGAGTGCTGGGGCTCCTCATTGACATCCACGTTAAGGGGTCTGGATCAGTCTGGGGTCCATCAGCATGCTTTTTTAATAAAGCCGGTCAACCCAACATTCTACTCACGTACATCAGTCTTCTGTATTAATCATCTTCCCATTATTGTAATAAAGTACCACAGACAATCAATTTATTAGAAAATGATTTATTAAGGTTGTGGAGGTTCTAGTCCCAAATGGTTGGATTCCACAGATTTGAGCTTCAGATGAAGATGTCTCATCACTGTAGGAGCATGTGGGAGAGCAAAACCACTCACTCCAGGAGCAAAAATAAAAGAGGGAGAGATCAAACCTATTTTCCTTTGAAGATGTATCTTCAGTAAACCTTCCAACAGGCTCCCATTGCCAATAGCACTACTTTGTGGAAATAGCCAAACCATTCTTTTCATTACTTGAAAGGGCAGTGTTATAGCTAGCACATAGCACGATAAACTTGAAGGTGAGAAAAGACACTGCAAACTCTGGATGAATGATGAAGTGAGTGTTTCAGACATATTCACTATTCATTCTCTTTTGATATAGGAGTAGATAAAGACAACAAGAAAAAAGGAGGGAAGAAGGTGAGAAAGGCAGGGAGAGAGGAGGGGAAAGAAGGGCGAAGGGGAAGAGGAAGGGAGGGAAGGAAAAGGAAGAGGGAGGGAAGTAGAGAGAGAACCATTTTTTTTGTTTTTTAAATTTTATTATTACTTTTAATTTTCTTTGATATCTGTTTTTACATAGTTTAGTTTGTCCTCAAACTCAAGATCCTCCCACCTGTGTCTCCTAAGTGTTGAGATGATAGGTATGAGGCATTGATGTTGAGCTTAGATGCAATTTTGAAATAACTAAAAGCAACTTTGGGGCGTGGGGAATGTCCTACCTTGTTGGGAGGCTCTTCTGGTCAGAGGTTCCAGTCTACCATAGCTGACCAGGGACAACAAAGACAATAAACAAAACTCTCTGAGTGCAGTGGGGGAGCGAATTTTTAACCAATGATAAAATGTCCCAGGAAGTCCTTAGGGATCTTTCTTTCTTTCTTTCTTTCTTTCTTTCTTTCTTCCTTTCTTTCTTGATTTAAGAATTGTTTTTTTTTTTGCTGTTTCTTTTTTTTATTTGAATTACAAACAAGATTGAATTACATGACAATCCCAGTTCCCTCCTCCCCCCCGGCCTCCCCTACCCCCCCCCAACTAAAACCCTACCTATCACATATCCTTTCTTCTAATCTACACCTGACTCAACCTTTCTGCTCCCTCATGACCTCTGCATCCTTCCTCTTCTTCCCTTCTCATTCTCATAGCTCCCTCCCCCCTCTTCCCATGTTCTCAATTTGCTCAGGGGATGATGACCCTTTCCCCTTCTCCAGGGGACAAAGTTTGTCTTTAGGGTCCTCCTCGTTTACTAGTTTCTCTGGCAGTGTGGATTGTAGCCCAGCCTTCTTTTTAAAATTTATTTGAAACAGGATCTCTCTAAAATCTCCCAGGATGATCTCAAACTCAATCTATAGCTCAGACAATCCTCTGCTTCAGCCTCCAGAGTAGCTAGGAGTCCCAGGCCTGGCTTCTGAACTCACTCTTCTTGATGATTTTTTAAAGATTGTCTTTGATCCATTTTGACTTAAGTTTTATGCATGGTGATAGGCTTGGTTCTATGGTCCCATTTATCAATTGTTGATCTCAGTGTCTGTGTTACTGGTGTTATGCTCAGGAATCAGTCTCCTGAACCAATTAATTCAAGGGTATTTCCCACTTTATCGTTTAATAGGTTCAGTGTGGCTGGGTTTATGTCTTTGATCCATTTTGACTTAAGTTTTATGCATGGTGATAGGCTTGGTTCTATCTGCAGTCTTCTACAAGTTTGCATCCAGTTATGCCAGCACCATTTGTTGAAGATGAAGCCTTTTTTTTCCCTTTTTTTAAAGTATGGTTTTAGCACCAAGTAAATTTTTTTTAAAGATTTTATTTATTTATTATGTATACAAATTCTGCTTCCGTGTATATCTGCACACCAGAAGACAGCACCAGATCTCATAGTGGATGGTTGTGAGCCACCATGTGGTTGCTGGGAATTGAACTCAGGACCTCTGGAAGAGCAATCAGTGCTCTTAACCTCTGAGTCATCTCTCCATCCCCAAGAGATAACCATTTTAAGAACGGGATTAGAATAACTGCCACTATGTTAGCCCTGTCGCCTACCAGTCCATAGAGAATTTTCTTCATGATGAGCTGGTTAAAGGAATTTGATACTCCTATTGGAAACAAAATGGCTTGTATTTCTTTCGGAATACTAAGCCAGAAATCAACTTCAGTAGGAGGCAATTTCAGTTAATACTGAGAAACCAGAGTGGTTTATGCCTGCCTTTCAATTACCCTGGTCTTTCAGGCAGTTTGCACATTTAGGAACACGAGAGCTGATGGCACGATAGGAGTCCCTGCTGTGACAACCACAGACCTACAATTTGTCTTTTTATTTGTTCCTGTCAGGCTCTGAAGGCAAAGCTCCAGATTTATACTCAAAAAATCAGTTCTACTGAAATATGCTTCTTAAGCCTAGGGTTGAGGAGGCCAGACAGAGAGGCTGCCATTGTTTCTGAGTGGGTGGAGTGGAGGTGAGAATGTGGAGGAGTCTATTCATAGGTGGAGGGTAATGCCCATCTTTGCTTTCTCATCACTGCCATTTCCTTGTTTCTTGGAGAGGTGACAGTTGTGACTAAATTCCAGGGGAAGGGCCATAGACACATGACAGGTCATGATTATAAGAAAGAGAACTGCCTGGAAAAATGTGCAATAATGTGACAAGTTGGCTAGGGAAGCTGAGAAGAAAGAGAAGGCAAGGAAATTTTTGTCATAGATAGAATTTTCCCATGGAAGAAAAATTTGGTCTGTGCATCTCAAGAGAAAGTGACTAATAAAAAAAGTCTAAGGATTAGTTTTGTTATACCAGGTACAACCAAAGCACATTGTGACAATATTTAATAGGCTGCCGCTACTGAGCCCACTGAAAGAGCTCTGAGTCTTTAAATGAATGACATAAGAACAACTTCTGCCAGGGGTGATATAAAAACAGGCTCAGACCTACCAACCTGACTTTGGTGGCCATATAAGTGCAACAGCTTGGAAAGGATGAGAATGAACCTTCCAGAACAACCCAAATTCTCCATGACTTAATGGATGCAGGAGACAGACCAGTTAAAGCAACAGAGAAATGCCCCTTTGAGGAGATTCAGGCCTGCATCCCTCTAGCCTGGGTAAGGACTTTCCAGGGCTGAGCAAGCTGAATGCATGTGTTCAATAAAATATCCGTGTTGCATAGCTAGTTAGTAGAAGTCCTTGTATGCCTAGTCTGAAACTATCTCTCCTTCTTCCCATTCTGTTTTACCATATTGCTGGTCCTTTAAAGAGTAGGCGTGGCTTCTTGCTCTGGGGCTGGTACTCTAAAGCACAGGTTGAAGTGAGTGTCTTTTCTTTTCTACTATGGAAAGCAGCATTTAACTCCTAATATTCCTCTCTCCCACCTCCTTTTCTTGTCTCTTCCATTTTTGGGGGGTGGGGTTCAAGCAGGGTTTCTCTGTGTAGCTCTGGTTGTCCTGGGACTCACTAGGGTAGACCAGGCTGACCTTGATGTCCAACTCACAGAGATCTGCCTGCATCTGCCTCTTAAGTGCTGAGATTAAAGGTGTGCACCACTGCTGCCCTACTCTTTCTTTCTTTCTTTCTTTCTTTCTTTCTTTCTTTCTT